ATCCGCCTGCCTCTGCCTCTGACTCCCAAGTTCTGGGATTAAAGGCGTGCGCCACCACCGCCCCAGAAAGATTTTTCATGTAAATCATTTTGAAAACTTAAATACCAGTGAGATAGCAGTAGTCCTCAAGTGAATAGATAATTTCTACTCAGACTCTATTGAAACTCCCTGCTTTCTTTTTTGTAAAAATTAGTCACCTTATCCCAAAATTCATATGGAAATAGGATCTAGAGGAATCAGAACTTCTGAAAAAGAATAATATTGGAGAGGGTTCTGTTTCTGGATTTGAGGACATGATATAAATGCATTGTGACTGTGACCAGTGTAACGTTCAGCATACTCTGAGGGACAGTACCAAAGTCCAGGTAGACACACATTTTTGATCAGTTGATTGGCTTTTTTTCTCTTGTTTTTAAACAAGGGCAGTAAAACAATTTGTTAAAGAAAGAAGAGTCTTTCACAGTCTTTTACTGGGACATATGGGTGTCCAAAAAGTGGTGAAGTTGGAGTCTTTGCAAATATTCAAAGAATAATTCAGAATGAATCAAAAGACCTCCATTATCAAGATAATTATAAGACTTGTAGGGGGCACTGGGCAGTGGTGGCCACACGCCTTTAATCCCAGCACTTGGGAGGCAGAGGCAGGCAGATTTCTGAGTTCAAGGCTAGCCTGGTCTATAGAATGAGTTCCAGGACAGCCAGGGCTACACAGAGAAACCCTGTCTCAAAAAAAAAAAAAAAAAAAGACTTGTAGGGGGAAAGTAAGTATACGTGTGTGACCTGGACTTAAGGAGTGGTTCCTTAGAATACCAAAGTGGACACAATAGAAACTTGTGTTTCAAAGGAAATTGCTCTGCACACATACCAAAAAAAAGTAACAGGAAAGGTACCCATAAATTGGGTGAAAATATTTGAGATACACCTAATAATGGTTTTATATCAAGTCCAAGGCAACACATAGTATGTTTTCCTCTTTTAAGACTTACACCATTTTGGTTGGGTTTTTGTTGTCCTTGCTGTTGTTTGTTTTTAACTATAGTGGTGCTGAGGAGTGAGTCTGCGTCCTCCGTGTACTCGGCAGGCGCTCTGCCCTTAAGCAACATCACCAGCCCACATCATTTTACGTGGGTGTGCTGCTGAAGTTGCTTACTGTGTAAATGGTGTTGAAGAGATTTGTCTGAGATCATGAGTCCAGTCGTCTTCTCTGCCTTCTCCCTGCAAAGATAATACTAGTGCAGTACTACCATCTACTGATAGCAGAGGAGAAATTTAAGATGAAGCAACTCAAAATAATATGAAGCTCCAAAATTATAGTTTAGTGGACAACAGGGTGAACATACTTGTTTAATTTAATGGAGTAGCTCTTCAGGATTCCCAACACATGAAGTAAATAATAGAAAGTTCTTTGGGTGCCATGTGTCTCTGCTCAGCCAATCAGAAGTCAGGATTATTTTGTATGTAATAATAGAGTTTTATTTGCAGAGGAGCTGATAAGTAGGTAGGACTTACAGGACACAAGTGGTTGTTGCATTGCTCTTAATTGTAGAAGAGAAAATTAGTCTTGTGTGCCTAACTTTTCACAGTATGAATTCTTACTTTAGAGTGGTGTCACCTTATCTTTTTAGTTACAGGTTTTAAAATGTCACTAGCATTCTAAAGGTAACATTGAAGATTGCTTTTACCTTTGTTGAGATAATTTAACGGGCTGTGAAAATGCCAGGAATTTTATGAAAATGTCTTCAAGGTTTTCATCACCATCTCTACCAGTTTTCCTCTCACCAGAGCCTGCTGACTTAGGCTCTCTGACAAGTGCTTCTTGTTCACTAAATGAACTGGACAATATTTCCCACCTTTTGAGGAAAATAGCAACCGATATCAATGAAATTAAAGGAATGAAAGCAGCTATTTTGACAGTGGAAGCAAATCTGTTTGATTTGAACGTTAGAGTGTCCCAGAACGAAGCAAAAATTTCATCTTTAGAGGTTAAAATGAATGAATATTTAACATCTACATCTGAATGCAACAGACAGTTGGAAGATTTTCAAGAGAGAACAGAGTTTGAGTCGCAGTCAAAGACTACTGATGTAAAAATAATTGGCTTCCTAACAAATGTTGAGAAAGGTAAACTATATGTTTTAGGTGCTGATCCTTTTAACCTTCTACACTTTGACTATTTCTGGTATAGAGGCAGCTCAGCATAGACAAAGAAGCTGAGATTTCTGTTGCTTGGGACTCTATAATTTAACTTGGGTCTAGAAAGTTTCCGCAGAGCTCTTAACAGGTTTTTCTTTCTATTTGAAGGTATTGGGGACTGAATGTAGTGCATTATACATGCTAGGGTAGGCAAGAACTCAACCAGTCAGAACCCCCTTAAATTTTTTAGGAACCAGCTGTGTTAGCACACTTTTTTTTTTTTTTTTTTTTTTTTTTTGGTTTTTCGAGACAGGGTTTCTCTGTATAGCCCTGGCTGTCCTGGAACTCACTCTGTAGACCATGCTGGCCTCAGAAATCCGCCTGCCTCTGCCTCCCAAGTGTTGGGATTTAAAGGCGTGCGCCACCACCGCCCGGCTGGCACCCCTTTAATACAGGAGGTAGACACAGTTAGAGATCTGTGAGTCCAAAGTTAGCCTGATCCATGTAACAAAGTTCCAGGCCAGCCAGGCCTACATAATGAGACCCTGTCTCCAAAAAATGATGGGTGGCAGGGAGTATTTTGTTTTGGGTCATAGTTTGGTTAAGTTAACCCTTAATGGTTTCATATGTGTGGTCTTCCTGCCTCATCCTCTCAAAAGACCATGCCTGGCTTAGGATGTTGATTTGAAAAAAAAAAATGGATGGGCTTCAAGATAAAGTAAAACTTGAAAGGAAATGATTCTCTTTCAAGTACTTCTGTGGTGGTATTCTGCTGTAAAACTGTTTAATTTTATTACTGGTTCTGTAACTTATAGCATGTTAGTATGTTGACCAACAGGAATACAGCTTAAGCAGATCTGTGAACTAAGGTCTATTCTCCGTGATTATTTTTGCCGTGGTAACTTTCAAAGGAATTTAATCTCTTTTGTGCATGTCTCTCTGGAGAAGGAAACATACATTGACAAAGAAGAGCTGGTAAAATGTTACTTGGGTATAGATAGCTTTTAAGTCTTTCAGTGAGGTACTTGGCAAGACCTTGCCATCTTCTTGTTTGCATTGTATAAGCAAAACCTATCCTTGTGGAGCCACATATACTACTAGATACTCTTAAAAACTAGCAAGCAGTTGACTTACTGAGAATTGCAGTATTTGGACCCATACCAATTCTACCTCTACATACTGTAGTTTGATGCTTCTGTTCTAAATTAGAAATTAGGAACTAAATGCCTGTGATTAAGCACAGTGGGAATCACATTTACAATAAAATGTGATATCCCTTTTCATAATTCAAGTAGTTTGGAGGATAGACAATCAGTTCGTTGGGTTTTGTTTTGCAGTATGGATATTAATATTATTATGGGGCTCGTGAGATGGTACTGTGGTTTAAAGCACTGACTGCTCTTCAAGAAGACCTGACTTCACCTCCCAACACCCATATAACAGCTCACAACTGTCTGTAGCTCCAGTTCCAGGGGATCTGACACCCTCTTCTGGCCTCTATGAGTACCAGGCACACATACAGTGAACATAAATGCTTCAAAACAGTCATACTTAGAAAAGAAAAATAAATGTTAGAAAAGAATTTTAGTATGATGCTAATGTGAGGGCCACATGGCTATATGACATCTGTCACCATTGGTCACCAGGGTCACTCAGCTCATTTCACTTACTAGGCAGGTGTGCCTTTCTTCATTGTTCCATTCTGCATCCTTTCCAAAGCTACATTCTCAGTTGAAGAGAACAGCCTTATTTAATAGAGCCCACCTGCTAGAAGTCTCTCAACAAGTACTCAAGAATAGTAGTATGAATTTGTATTAATGTTAGAAATTAATTTTAAGAGCTATTTTAGAAATAAGTACTTTACCTGTTCAACTTAAAGAAAAATATATTTATAGATCTAAATGGTTATATCAACAGTTCTCAACCTGTGGGTCATGACTCTTTTCATGGTCAAACAACCCTTTTGGGTCATGTAAGACCATCAGAAAATACATATTTACATTACAGTTCATAAAAGTAGCAAAATTATACTTGAGATGTAGCAACAAAAATAATTTTATAGTTGGAGATTGCTACAACATGAACTGTATTAAAGGGTCACAGCATTAGGAAGGTTGAGAGCCCCTGATTTACGTTTGCACCACATCACTTGGTGACAGGACAGTCTCCTTAGGTGATGTCATCATTGGGCAAAGAGTCTACTCTCAGAAACTGAGGTAGCTGCATTAGGAACAGAGAATGTGGAGTTCCTGTTGAGCAGCTGAGCATTACTGTGAAGCTCATGGACAGTCTGCTGTACAGCCAGGGGAGGCTCTGGATGCAGAACTCTGACTGCCATACTTGATCCATTGTTTGTTTTGCATCAGTCCAAGCCAGTTTGTTTTTTAGGAATTTCATGACAGGGGAATTATGGAATATATTTTTGGTTTGGGTTTAAGTTTCCATGTGTTTTGCTATTTCCAAAGATGAGGAGATCCTGGGGAAAGGGAAGCAGTGTGGGGTAAGTCGTGGTGCTGAGAGTTCAGGGAGCACTCTCCATGCCTGCTGTGGAGTCATTGTCTCCATTTACTAAAGCACCCACTCCTGTTGGTTCACTCTTTCCTTTTACTTCTGCTGTGTTTTCTTCAACCCAAGAAGACTGGCCGCCTCACTTGTGGGGAACCAGGAGGGACTTTGTTGCCATTTTTGATTTAACAAATAAGCAGTATTTTGTTTTAACAGAGATAAGCTTGAAGACCATAATAATAGCAAATTGTGTTGTAGAAACTTTATTTGTAAGACTGTAAATAAATTCAAAGATTTATTTCTGATAAACAAACGTTAATATTTGTGTTCCGCTTAGTGAAGTTTTAAAACTTATATTGTAGGAACTCAACAGAGGCAATTGTTATCCCGACTGCAAATTGATCCAGTAATGGTGGACACAATGGAGATGAGTCAAGGTGGGTAGTGTTTACCTCATCACTGTAATGTGCCAGTTTTCTGTGGCCATTTCCATTCCTTACACCTCATTCAGTGTGTCATGTATCTCTTAGATCCTGCCCTAAGACAGCACATTAGATGGATACAAATATTTTAGGGCCAGGATGTAAGATCTGCATTTCCTTCATGTGTGGTGGTTTTGCCTCATTCATAAGCTTTCTTTTCCCTATCCTTTCCTCCTTGGCTTCTAGCTGTTCACTTTCCTGCTGTGAAGGCAGCCAGAGTCCCTGTTCCACCTTTTCCCTGTGCTGCTCATTGTCGGTCATGGAACCTTGTGTCCCTAGCTCACCTTCTGTCTCTGCTGTATTTCCAGAGCGGCTTCAGCATCCCCTCAGCACCAGTTCAAGCTACCCAGTGTATTGGCCTCACTTTACAGTCTAATGCTCAGGGACCACTAACTACTTGTTCTAAAGCTTCTGTGAAGTGTTCTGCTCAACCCAGATATACATTCCACAGGCTGCTTCAGGCCTGGAGTGAGGTACCTATTTTTATCTGTGTCTTTGGTTCCCCAAATCTCTGCCAGGACCACATTCAGTAAATGTAGGAAACAATTGGACACCTGAAACAGTTTTTCCTTTTTGACAGTTTTATTCTGTAGCTCAAGCTGACCTCTGACTTGCTGTCCATCTGCTTTCTCTTCCAAGTGCTGGGATTACTAGCATGTGCCACCACACCTAACACTTGTATTCTTGTGCTTCCCATGAATCTGCCCTTTGTTGGAAGCTCTGGTCCTTGATTCCTATCTCTGCTTTCTGCCTCCTAAATCATCGCCCCCCTCCAAATCCACAGTCAACTGTTTTCCTAGTTTTCTGTTTCAACATGTGCTTTTGCTCTCAAAGGTTGGCCTCTATCTAGATCCCATGTCCTACCCATCTGAATGGGATGGTGTTACTCCTCCAGCTTTAATCCTGTTGCTCCTGCCTTTGCCTGTTGAGTAGTAAGATGCTGCAACCTTGGTTTTGCCTCCATCTTGCAACACTGCATATAATAAGTCTTGTTTTAAGTGTGGTGCCAAAGTCTGCCTTGTTGTGCCCACTTCATCATCTCTGGTGCATTCATTTTTTTTGTTCCTGTTTTACCTTCATTCCCAGTTCACTTGAAGAATTAAGTAGTTCTTTTGAGGCTTATGAGTGAGCACAGTCTTTATTCTGTCAGATTTTTTATTTCTGAGAACAATCTTTATTCATATTCCTTTGATCTTTTTTAACATACTGATTTTGTTTCATGTATGTAATAATTTTTTGTTTTCTTTGAGGATGTCAAAAAATGGTTTTGACATTTTCCTTTTCCCTCCTTGGTCTTATTTTCTCTGAGTTGTTGGTTTCAACTTTTATGATAAAGGTTTTTCCGTTCCTTGATTATCTGTTTTAAAAGAGGATTAGTAAAACTTGATTGATATTCTGGGTTCTGAGTTGGGGCATATGTGTTTGGACTTTGTGTTTTATTGTGGATCCTGTGGGGAGAATGATCTGTTAGTCTAGTTTGGAAGCATCCTGAGTATTAATACCAGTTAGGTGTTCTTAGTCTGGTCAGCAGTGCCAATAAAGGTCTTCCAAATACTCTTTTTTTTTTTTTGGTTTTTTTGAGACAGTTTCTCTGTGTATCTCTGGCCTGAAGCAGGCCTGAAACTCGATCTGTAGACCAGGCTGGCCTGGAACTCAGAAATCCGCCTGCCTCTGCCTCCCAAGTGCTGGGATTAAAGGCGTGCTCCACCATTGATTGCCCAGCCTTCCAAATAGTCTTGATTGTCAGAGTTCAGATAGCTCAGTTAGTAGAGGAGGACCGTGGAGGAATTACCATTAATTATTATACAGTTTTTCACTATAGAATTATTTGAGCATTGCTGGCATTTCTGGAACGTATTGAGAGTCTAAAGTCTCACTCTCCAAGGGAGAGGATCTATGAAATGGATAGAGGTTTTCAGTGGCCTTTTAAACAATATTCTCACTGTTCGTGTTACTTTGTTGTGGTACCTTTCTGTTATAGAACCAGATGGGTTATCTCTGAATTTCCAGCAGTGATGGGTGAGAGATTACATACCTAGTCATTCTCAAGTCTTCACTGTAGTGATGGGGATGGGGATGGTAGGTCCAAACGGAGAAAATAGGTGCATGGACTTAGGCTTTAGGAAAGGCTCATTACTTCTGAAGTAAGCCCTCCAGCACGGCTCAGTTTTTTAAGCTCTTCCCAAGGTCACCTCTGTTGCTAGTTCTCAATCTTAGGAGACTCTTGTAGTCTAAATTAGATTGTTTTATTATTGTCTTAGAATCAGTTTCTATAACTGTTTTTTGTCTTTGTTTTTTTTTTTTGTTTTGTTTTGTTTTTTTACTTTGAAAGTATGGTTGTTCCTTTGCAATTATTTCCTTATGGGCATACACCTTTTTGTTTAAAAAGCAAAACTCTTCATTGCTTTTTTTTTTTTTTTTTTTTTTTTTTAACGGTTTCAGAAAGGTCCAGAATTAAATGCTTGAGCTCAGCCCAGGTCTCTACTCAGACAGACTGTTACTTCTGTCCACTATGCAGGGATTCCCTGTTACTAAGCTGAGGTGGGCAGTGCTTGGGTACATAGAGTACAGACATCTTATGTTCTTTTCCCATCCGTGTGTGGCATGCATATGTTAGCTGTGTGTCTGTATGCGCCCATGTGGAGGCTTAGAGTTGATGTGAGGAATCATCCCCGTCATTCTTCTACCTACTCATTGAGGCAGGGTTTCAGTCAAACCCAGAGCTAGCTGGCATGCCTGGGTTTGCTCTAGGATTCCCATCTTCCCATTCTGAAGCTGACATTACATGTGGAACATCACTCCCACCCGAGAAGTACATGGGGTCTGGGTATCCAAGCTAGCAAGCACTTCAGCCACTGATCAATCTCCCTGACCTGAAACCTGGACTAGGTGCACACTTCCCTAAACTTGGGAGCCTGTGACAGTTGCATCCTGTACTTTCAGTCTTTTATCCTTTTATTCTCATTGCCTTCATTCTCCTCTTTCCAGCCCTTCTCCCTGGCTGCTCCCTAAATGGCTAACTTTTCCTGTGTTTTCCTGTCAGCGTTAATTTTGTCTGTTCTGTGCCATGCTAAAGTGTGAACTAGAGAGAGCAGGTATACCACAGAAAGTTTAGAGTGCCAGGAAGGGCATGCAGCATCCCTTAGAACAAGTTCTGAGCTCTGCTTTAAGTAGCTAGGTACGCAGTCATAGAAGGGCTTGCAGGACATGGGAAGAAAACTAATGAGTCAGCTTTTTTTCTGGGGTGGGGTTGAGGGGGTTGGGGCCCTCCAGCAGCTGTAGTGAAGTGTGTGTGTGAGTGTGTGTGTGTTCATTCCATTCATTCCAGTGCAAACTGTAAATTAGATTCACTGACTTCAAAATAAATAGGAAAGGAAATAAGGTCTGAGTTGTCCCTAATACTTGTGCTCTTACATCTCTTCTCACCAGATGTCAAATTGTAAATTTTTCCTTCCTTGTAAAGGATTTCAAACTAAATAAATCTAAAATTGATAATTTCCTATTGGTTCCTCCTCCCTGGACTTTCTACTTCCGCTTCATCCTTTCTTCCCCATTTTACCTTCCCTGACTGTGGTTGTAGCAGCCCCTCTGACCCTGGTGGTTGATGGGCGTGTAGAACATGTACTTTTCCTTTCTCATGTGTTAGAGGGATGAAGGAAAGAAATTTTACTTTTATTAATTTATTTGAGACCAGGTCTTACTTTGTAGGCCTGGCTGACCTGGGACTCACTCTGTAGATCAGGATATCCTTGGATTCAAACCTCTGCCTCTGCCTCCTGAGTGCTGGGACTGAAGGTGTATGTAACCACACCCAGCATAGAAAGAAGATAATTCTGTTTTTCTAGAAACCTGTTGATTGTGTTTCTTCCCTACTTAGGAATCTCTTACTATTTCTAGGCCAGAATCCAAAATACTAGGCACGTGATCCATCATTACATTTTATTAGTCACTCTTAACCATTCCCTGTCATACCATCACATGCATCTTCTTAGGTATTCCACATTTCTCACCTTTCTCAGTGTTGTGTTAAGTCCCCTTCCTTGCTCCGTGTGTTTTCTCTGCCTCCATTGACTCTCTGACGCTCTGTTCTCCTCATACTCTTTCCTTTAATACTCATTTTACATATTTGACTTTGACCAACATTTCTTTGACTTTTCATCTGGAAGAGGTACCTTTGTTCTACTAACACCTCTTCATTCCCTTTCTGGGCTTTGCTGTTTTAGAATTGTATGTGTCTGATTTTCTTTTCCTTTTATCTACATACCTAGCACAGTTGCACAGTAAAAAAATATTCGGTAAATTAATAGCCTGAATTTTGGTCTTGTTTATTTGTTGGCTTTAAAAGAAACAGTTAACTTTTATCAGTTGCTCACATACTGACAGGTTGTCATACCCACTCTGAACTCAGTTCTCGTTCCATTTTGTGAGGGAGGCAGCCTGTAGATGCTGTAGCTGACTTGAGCTTGTGGTGGCTTGCATTGAAGATTAGTGCGACATATTCATCTTAACATTCCCTTTCAGAATAGTTTTCTGTGTATACCTGGTTAGAAATTAAGCCAACTGAATTCTTAATAGGCAGTGTTTCCTTTAAATACTACTGTGAAAAATGAACAGAACTCATTTGGGAAAAGTAGTTCACCAGTTTTTGAATCAAAATTTTAGGAAACATTAAGATTCTTAATTCTTTCTGATTTTGAAAAAAAAAAAAGTAACTGTTGTCCTTTTCCTGTGTTTACTATCCCAACAGCTGTGATAGAGGATACCCTTCTCTGCTGTAGACAAAGAAAGGCATTTGTAATGTACCGTGTGAGGGAAGGACTATTTGAATTCTCTGAAGAGAAGTTTGGAATAGTTTTACAATCCTATCCCTGGGTAGAATTAGTTATGATTTTCTTTAAAAGTAATTATAATTATATAAAAGATTGACATTCTTCTCACTTGTATGATGTTGAGAATAAAAGGTATATTCAGAAGTAAACATTTATGGCCAATTTTTTTGGCTCAGATTACTATGACATGGAATCCATGGTCCATGCAGACACAAGATCATTTATTCTGAAGAAGCCAAAGCTGTCTGAGGAAGTAGTAGTGACACCCAACCAGGATTCGGGGATGAAGACTGCAGATGCCCTTCGGGTCCTTTCAGGACACCTTATGCAGACACGGTAGATGGTTTCTTTTTCTTGTGTAGCTACTGTGTGTGACTGTAGTGCAGGTCAGCTGTTAGCTCCCAGCTCCCCTGTTCCTTTAGCTCCCACTAGATGGCGCTCTCATTGACTCCCTGGCTAGGCCATCAATAGCCAAATTCAGCTCTCAAAAATTCAAGTTCATCTTTCTTGTTCAGAAATCCACTAAATAGAAATAAAAGCTGAGTATAATTTAACTCCATTGATAAGGGATGTAGTGTTGTCTTGTTTTAAATGTATACCCAAGGAATTGAACTGTAAAAACTGGGTAACCCAAATCAGGAAATCCTTCTGCAAGGTGTTAAGAGCCAAGGCTTGTGTGGTTCCTTCCTAAGAAAGCAGACAGTATTCAGCAAAGAAACATGTGTACAGATGATCAAATCATGTAAAACTAAAGCTGCTGGCCAGGATGCTCTGAGCATCCATTCTAATTGTTCTTTGGTTTGGTTTGGATTGGTTTTGGTTTATTTCCATGTTGATCCTATAAGGAACACATGGACAATGAAGAGTCAGAGTTGAGAGGATATTGTCACTATCAGTAAGTCCTTGCTAGAAGGTGCCTGTGATACTGCTGTAATTGCTGCAATTGCTGGCCATGGCCGTTGTGTATTAGGGTTCCATTTATGCTGTAGCAGGAAGTCATTCTAAGCCTCTTAGTGAACCAAGTGCAAAGCAAAGGAGTAACAGTTCTGCTGAAGAGGACTTTAGGAGGCTCAGCATTTTGTGTTTGTTTCCCTAATTCTATGGTATTTTTTATCTGTCTGGCAGAGATCTTGTACAACCAGATAAACCTGCAAGTCCCAAGTTTATAGTGACGCTGGATGGTGTCCCCAGCCCCCCAGGATACATGTCAGATCAAGAGGAGGAGATGTGCTTTGAAGGAATGAAACCTGTAAACCAAACTTCCGCCTCAAACAAGGGACTCAGAGGTCTCCTCCACCCACAGCAGTTGCATTTGATGAGCAGGCAGCTTGAGGACACAGATGGTAGCTTTTCCAACGGTGTGTTGAGAGCTCAGACTTTCCTTCTCAGCCCACTGTCATTGAGAACGGAGTCTTGGCCTGTGATATCTTGAGTGAATATTGGTTTGAGGCCTCGCTTATATTTCTGTTCAGTAGCCTGTTTTCTTCTGTCGTACAAAACCACCAGTTCAATTTCATACTTCCTCTGTGCTTGCTTCACGGCATATTCTGTGATGCCAGTGCTAAAATCCAGTCATTGTGATCCAAAATACCTTTTTATTATGATTACTGAAGGATGAAGTATCATTCTTGATGCATTTACCAGCAACAATCTCTCATAGTTAACTTGAGAGAAAGATGGATTTGATTTTGGTGTTTCCCATACCATAGGATCTCCTTGGAAGGGACTTCTTACCTAACCTGGCAGGTGCAAGTATCAGAAAAGCCTTATGTGGTATTGATGCTGAGCAATGCTCAGGAACTCCATTCAGACGGTGCCTCCCTTTGGAGCCAGCTGTGTTTCCACTGCTCCTCCCCTCACGGATGTCATGCTCACGTGACCCCATTGGTCCTTTATCTTCATTTTTATTTTGATTTACATTTATGTGAGCATTTTGTCTTCATGTATGATTGTGCAGCAATGCATGCATGCCTCCTGCTGTGTGTCAGATCCCCTGGAAATAAAGTTACATGCAGCTGTGAGCTACCACATGGGTGCTGGGAACTGAACCTGGGTCCTCTGCAAGAGCAGCCAGTGCTGTTAGCCGCTGAGCTATCTCTCCAGCCCCCACCAATACTTTTCTCTTATTTAGATATACCATTTTCTCTGATTTAGATATGCCATTTCTTAAGCAGGAGAGTTAATTACTAACTCTTAAAGGTAAAAACTGCAGTAGCTGTACACATTTACTGACTCTGCATGCTGTGTCTAAAATGAGGATAGTTTGGTGTTACTGTTCTCAGTTCTCAATTTGATAGCTTAACACTCAGCTCTGTTAAGACCCATTTTCATTTAAAGGTGAGTTTCTGTGCTAGGCCTTGTTGGTATATAGGAAGCAGTGACTGTCGGGAACATGCCAGTCACGGGTATGCCTGTTTTGTGTGACTGATGTGGCCCATTGTGGAGACGGCTGGGATGAGGAGAGCGCTTCCCTTGCCACTGCGAACTCTTGAGTGAGGTGTGGGGATGAAGCTCTGCAGCAGTGAGAACAGGCTGCTGTTGAAGTTTCACGCACACCTGGAGGGGGTGTCTTCACCCAGTGCAAGCAGGGAAGTTTCATTGCTTATTTTGGTGGTGGTATTTGAGGGTGCTAACCAACTGCACCATCTGTGTTAACACACCTCCACTGAACATCATATGGCAGCACATTACAGCTTTCAATGCAAAGTGAATTTGCCACTGGAAATTTAAATGTGAAGAGTTTTATCATTTATGAAGTAAAATGCCAGCATAGGAAAACTAGAGCCATGACTTCGATATATTACTTCACATTGTTTTTCACTGAGAGTTGCCTTGTAACATACTTATTATTGTTATTATTATTATTATCATTTTGAGCAGCTACTTCATTTTTCTGGCTGCATTGCTCTTTGGAATCTAGTCTTCCTTTGTTCTAGGGCATCGTGTGTTTTTATCAGTCTTGTATATGCAGCAGTGTGGGGCAGTTTCCTCTGTAGTGATGGGACAAAGATCTTCTAAAAGTAAGTGAGGTTCCCCTCCCAGTGCTGTTGGGTTTTCTTTAGAAATTCTCAAGGAACTTTTATATCCTATGTCTAAAATAAGTTACTTTCTATTTTTCTTATTTTGTTGCATAGGAGATCAAGCCCAGGGCCTTATGGATGCAGAGTAAGCGTTCACTGCTGGACTAACTCCCAGTCCTGCTCTTTTTATTTATTTTTTTTTTTAAAGATTTATTTATTTACTGTATATGAATACACTGTAGCTGTCTTCAGACACACCAGAAGAGGGCATCAGATCTCATTACAGATGGTTGTGAGCTACCATGTGGTTGCTGGGATTTGAACTCAGGACCTCTGGAAGTGCAGTCAGTGCTCTTAACCACTGAGCCATCTCTCCAGCCCCTGCTCTTTTTAAAGTAGCATAGAAATTGGTATCAGGCATACCATGGTCATTACTGAGGCTCCTGTCTGCACCACATGATGCTCTTTATGCCAGTTCTGTAGGGAGGGCATTGGGTCACTAGAGCAGAAACATTGCCTTCTTTATATAATCTGATTCTGAAAAAGGTGAGTTTCAGAGCTGTTAGATTTTTGCCTAAGATGTCTAGATGTGCTACTAATATTACAAAGCCAGATCTGACCTACCAGAGCTTGGAAACCCTGCTGCTGTATAGCCAAGTGAGAGTTGGCTTCACAAACAATAAAACTTAACAATGATGTCTCAGATCAAAAGGCAGTGGTCTTCATGTATAACTTTATTTGGCATCATAAATTAGTTTCATATAGATGTCATAGGAAAAGTTAGAGGTCCCATTCTCCTGTGCCAAGTAGTTGACATTGTAATTGGACATGACTTAATGCAAACAGTGCACCCCATGGGTGAGGCTTATTTCCAGGTCATGGTCCCAGTCTGTCTACTTCTGCCATGTAGCATCTTATACTCAGCCAGACTTCAGACTTGCTGTTACAAGACCTTCTCTATTCTACCCCCATCCGCAAGCCCATAGGCAGTGTCATTTCCTGGCCCATCTTATGTAAAGCTGTTTCCTCCTTAGATATCAAGGTGAGTTTAGTGCCCAGACCTTTACTAACTGTACTTCAGTGGTTAGGAATACTTTCTGATTTGGACACTTGTCATTTGGTTGGAATATGAAAACCATTCACATTCCTTATCAGCTTGTGTTTCCAGCTTCATTTTTAAATTTGGCATCTTTCACTTTTGTATTTCAGTTCTGAAGTAAGACTGAAGTTTACTTGGGGCTCTGTCTCAACTTTGGTCTTCTTTCTGCTAACCTTAGGGTTCCATTACTAGGATGGATTGGCCATATCACATGGTGTTATTTTACAGGGCTACAAACATTAAAGAATATAAATTTTGAGACTGGGGTTTGGGGCAGATTTATTGAGTAGACCTTGTACTTAAATCCTAATGAACACAATGGTCTCAATTCCTTCTTGAAGCTGAGATGACTGACCTGAGCATGGCACAGAAACCAGAGAAGCTCCTGGAGCGCTGCAAGTACTGGCCTGCTTGTAAAAACGGGGATGAGTGTGTGTACCATCACCCCATCTCACCTTGCAAGTGAGTAGTTATGTCCAATGCTTATCTCCATAGCAACCTCTGCACCTGACAACCTTTGCTTTCCCTTCTGTAGAGAGGTTTTATCGGTAAACAAATACTTGATACCTACCATAACCATCCCTAGAGCTTTGTGTGTTTTAAAAATGGTTTGTGTTTGGTACCTATGATCCTGAAATGTCTGGGTCCCTTGGTACGTCAAGTGTATCTCTACAGTTAGTATATATTTGTTCACAGATATCTACTTTATTTATATTGGGAATAAATTGAGTTATGTGAGTAATGAAAAAATATTCTAGATGTGGGTTAGTTTTCCTTACCAACTGTTTGATTTAATGCAGTGAACTTTGTGAGATCATGTTTGGGTGTTTTGTTTTGTTGGTCCTATGACTAGACTGTGTCCATGTTTTCACTATAAGTACATGTAGTAGCATAATTAAATATGTAAAGACTGTAAGTATGAGTCTTATAGTGCCTTGATCATGAAATATGCTTACGGTTTTTAAAATTTACTTAAGATTTGGACATTTGGAGCTAGAGAGATGGGTCATGGTTAAGAGCACTGTCTGCTTTTCCCAGGGGACCCAGGTACAGTTCCTAGTACCCACCTCGCAGCTCATACAACTGTGTGACTCCAGTTCCAGGGAATCTGACGTCTTCACACAGACATACATGCAGGCAAAACATCAATGCACATAAAAATTTTTAAAAATTATAAAAGGAAAAGTGGAATCTAGGATATAACTGGTTTTGACATTCTATTAAAGTAGAATGACTCAAAATCGATTTTATAATGTCTTGCCTTGAGTTGCAACATGTTAGACTTCCTCCAAATCTGAAATACACTTGTGTTCTGTTTTGGTATTTAGCTTCATTTAACAAAGTCCTAATTGCCCCTGCCCTACTCCTCATCACCACCACAGGGGATTGAAACCAGAGGTTCATGTATATCAGGGAAGTACTCCATGGAACGATCTATGTTCCTAGTCCATTATTACTATGTGTGTATCTGAGAGACAGGCAAACTAGATATCACATGTGTGCAGGTGCCTCTAGAGGCCAGAAGAGGGCATTGAATCCCCTGAAGCTGGAGGTACAGGCCATTAGTAGTAGCCACCCAGTGTTGGTGCTGAGAACTGAACTCACATCTTCTAGAAGAACAGCAAGTGCTTGTAAAAACCTCAGCTATCTTTCCAGCCATGCATGGTGTTTGTGAAGTCCCCCTAAAAAGAAAAAAAACAAAACCAAAAACCAAACCAAACCAAAAACAAAAATCCCTAATAGTCATTGAGATGTTAAATATAAATAATTGTTTTTGTTTTGTAGAGCCTTTCCCAACTGTAAATTTGCTGAGAAATGTTTGTTTGTGCATCCAAACTGTAAATATGATGCAAAGTGCACTAAAGCCGATTGCCCCTTCACTCACATGAGCAGAAGAGCCCCAGGACTGACTCCAAAGCCAGGTTAGTAACTTCGTGCACTGTTGTAATTGGGCCAAAGAGTAGAAAACGACATTTTCTGCCTCTAAGTGATATGAAACAACAAAAAGAATAGTTTTAGAAATGATTTTAGCGCCGGGCGGTGGTGGCGCACGCCTTTAATCCCAGCACTTGGGAGGCAGAGGCAGGCGGATCTCTGAGTTCGAGAGTTCGAGGCTAGCCTGGTCTACAGAGTGAGTTCCAGGACAGCCAGGGCTCCACAGAGAAACCCTGTCTCGAAAAAACCAAAAAACCAAAAAAACCAAAAAGAAATGATTTTAGCATTTAAAAAACAAATCGGCCTTTCTTACAGAACTCTGCTATATCTTGACTGATAAAACTTGTTGTAAATTAAATGATTCTAACCTTACCAGTAGACTGCATTAAAAAATGATTTGCCAAATAGATTGAGCATTGTTCATTCTGATTCTTGTCAGTGTCGTCACCAGCACTGTCTTCTAATGGCCAGCTCTGCCGTTACTTCCCTGCTTGTAAGAAAATGGAATGTCCCTTCTACCACCCAAAAGTAAGAAGTTTTATTTTCTAAAAAATGGTGTTAGTGGTAATCTCTCATTCTGAAGTTTGGGTTTCTTTTTTGTGTTAAGTTTTATTTTTAATTATGTGCATGTGTGGTTTTGTGCCATGTTAGTAGGTGTATTTATTTTCTAAGGCTTTCCGTGGTGTTACAATGAACACCGCGACATTGGTAGTTTAGAGTGAGGTAGGTGCTCATGCTCGTCTCAGTGTGTAGTTCCTGTTTTATCTTGAAGACTTTAAGTTTTGCTCCTCTTTGTTTCTGTTCAGCACTGTAGGTTTAATACTCAGTGTACAAGACCCGACTGCACATTTTATCATCCCACCATTACTGTGCCGCCAAGACATGCCTTGAAATGGATTCGACCTCAAACCAGGTGAGGATTTAAGTTAGTTTTTTAAACTCTAGTGTCATTTAGAATTATATCCTACTGTTGACGTTCCTTATGTGTCTAAGCACACAGATCTGAGGGATATTGAATTTTATTTCTTCCCCTGTTCTTTTAAAATTAAAATAATCCCTTAGCAAAAATGATTTACTAATGAACCAAATTTATCCAGTGATGACTTTTTTTTAGCCTACATCATCTCCAGATATGCTCTGTTTTTGTGGTACTGATTATTGAATCCAGAGCCTAATGCATAGGGCAGCTACTGAGCTCCTCCCTTCAGCCTTTCTAAATATGTGAGCATGTGCAGTACAAAACGCAACTCCAAGGCCAGCAGGATTGTCTGTGTATGATGTGTCATACACACTGATAGCAGTCTCAAGGCAGGGATGGGTAGACTGCTTGGTCTCTAACGTGCAGGCCTCACAAGCTTGAGGATCTGAAATTCGATCCCCAGAACCCATGTCAAAGTCTGGGGCATCTTAGGATGTACTTGTAATTCCAGAGCAGGGAAGGCAGATCCTTGGGGTCTGCTGGCAGCCAGTCTAGCCTACTCGGTGAGTTCCAGGCCAGTCAGAGTCCCTGAGTTTAAAAGGGTGGTAGGAAATGTGACCTTTGAGGTTGACCTTTGTTCACACATACATAAAAAATAAAGAGAATCCCAAGTCAGTTTTCTTAGACTGAAGTTTTCAAAATATTTTACAGTGGCCCAGAAGTTAAATCGCATAATTTATTTCTTTTATCTGCTTTACATAATTGAATTATTTAAAGACAAAATTTCTTAGCTAATGTATATGTTATTTATATGCAAAGCAGTTAATTTAAAAAATTTTGGTTTTCTTCAGTGAATGATGCCCTAGTCCTACCTGGCAGAAGATCATGCAGTTTGAAAGCTTCCGTCTTCTGATGAGAGAACTTGTCACGTCTTTGAAATTAAGAATATATTGCTTTCATATGAATTTTACTGCCCAACTGAAGTGTCTAATTTTTCAAGTTTGTAAGTTTATTAAGTGGTTTCAACATTTTTTGTTTGTTCGTTTTGACTATGAAAAAGACAGTTTAAAGAAAAGCCAAATTCTATTAAAACATTTGCGGCATGTTTGTACATTGCTGTTTAACATCATTTTTGGTACTGGTACTGCAGCTTAGGGCTGTAGTGCTGTGGGAAGGCCAGTGTCCTCAGAGCTGAAGCACTTTTTACTTTTCCCAAAGGTAACGAATGCAGTGTCTGTAACCCAAACCGAGACAGCTGGAACAACTAGCTTAAATTTTCTTTCTTAATGTCTAAATGAATTTGCTCTGAGAAGCATAATACAGGCTTTTATTTTGAGTGTTACTTTGGTAGAGTGGACTGAGGTCCCGTGCCTTTCTGAAAGTCAGTGGTGACGGTGAGGTGGGCACGTAGGGTAAACATAGTTGGAATGACAATGCAGAAAATGCATGAACCAGTCTTTGAATGCTCCCATTTACTGTTAGCTCATTCTTAAATCGTCTCAGAGGGACTACATTTTTTTTTTCTTTTTTTAAGATTTATTTATTTTGTGTATATGAGTACACTTCACATACACCAGAAGAAAGTATCAGATCCCATTTACAGATGGTTGTGAGCCACCATGTGGTTGCTGGGAATTGAACTCAGGACCTCTGGAAGAGCAGTCGGTGCTCTTAACTTCTGAGCCATCTCTCCAGCCCTCAGAGGGACTACATTATCACAAACTATACAAAACATTTACAGACATATGTACAGAAAGTACCAGAAAACAGACTCTGAACTCACAAGAATAGAAATATACATATATATTCCCATACTCTGAAAAATATTGTCAGAAATAACTCCACAGAAAATATACTTATGTTACTACTAAAGATCATTCTTGAAATGTAGAAGTTGAGATTTAAGTGGTATATTTTAAATGACAGAACTATTTAATTGCAGAGATAGTAAGGGTAAACTTCACAATAGGATAAAACTTGGCCTACTGTATTATGGAGTTTTATGTGTGGTTTTTGGAACTGTTAAGGCAAGATGTGTCATATGTTTTAGAATTAAATAACAGACAACTGATTTCAAAAACTTGTTGTTTTAAAAATTAAAGTGTAAGAGGTGGTTAGCAAAGGGGATAATAAAAGCTCAAACATTTTGAGGACCAAATTTAACTGTTAAGATACAATAAAATCACATCTATAAAAGTCTGTGTAACGATGTGAAGCCAGCCTTCTACTGTGGTCATTGCCCTTCCAAGCTAGTTATTCAACCATTTGATAAGCTGGCCTTGACCATGCTAACCCCAGAGGGTAAAGATCAGAAACAGCAGAAGAACAAAGGAGACAAGGGCCGAAAGCTGCTTGCTGCATAGGTTCAAGTGAAATGGCAATTCCATATTCTGTAAGTACATTGAATTTAAGGCGTTCATTCTAGGTTTGCTTCTCAGGTGAAGAATTTTTTTTTAAATTGTGTGAATTTCTGGAACTAGGCTTTTAATTACCACTTTCTAAAAAATATGTGTAGACATCTTCTCATAATTGTCCAGTAAAGGACCAGAAACAGGGAACAAGCACTTAGATGGTTTAGCTTTTTATAAGGAAATAGCATGTGACAATATAATTGTTTTCTGTTAATTCAACAGTGACTGGAAACACATTTTAAAAGGTTTGTTTTTTTAAGATAGGGTCTCATGTACTGCAAGCTAGCCTCAAATTTACTATGTAGCCAAGAATGATTTTGAATTTCTGATTCTATGCTGATACCTGGGATTATAGGCATGCCCCATTTATATGTATTATCAGAGGTTAAATCCAAGGCTTTATGAATGCTAGGTGTGCCCTAGCCCTACATTTAAGTGGTTTATTATTTAATTCTACGAGTTATAGACAAGCTTACTCTAACCCTAAAGCAGTTACTACTTGTTGTAAGTGAAACACTCTAAGGACTCACCCAGAGAAGTCGGCGTGATGGCTGGTGATGCAGAGCACTGGAGTGGACTGTGTGCTTTGGCATGCATTTACATAGGAAACAAGTGGGGCCACAAAAGCTGGTGGCAGTCTTGGGCTGTAAATTCATATACTGCAGGCACACACCATAATTTTCTGGGTTTAAAAACTACAGGGTAGTTTCTCTAATTCATTACCTTTTTCACAGTTGGTGGCTAATACAGAGAGGTGGTCATCTGATGACTACCTAAAAGTTAGCCTGACCCCTAGCCTTTAGTCACAGAACTGACCATTGCAGTGACAAAGGCTTGACTTACCAGACTGGCCACTTTGAAGGACATAAATAGTGGAAACAGTTTTTATGATTTACTTTTTAACATTACAGACTTTTACAGAATTAAAAATATTCTGTAACTACAGCTGACAAACTGTCCAGAGGGAAAAACCTTAGAACTATATACCATGCTTAAATTTGAAGTATTTTCCTTTTTATAGGAATTCTTTTATTTATTGACTACCATTTTATGAAATACCAGTGCATTCTAAAACTTGGCCTAATTTAGACGGATCATTCAGCATGAGCATTGGAAGAGAGTTACCTTAAGCTTTGAGTTTCTTTCTTTCTTTTTTTTTTTTTGGTTTGTTTTTTCGAGACAGGGTTTCTCTGTGTAGCCCTGGCTGTCCTGGAACTCACTCTGTAGACCAGGCTGCCCTCGAACTCAGAAATTCACCTGCCTCTGCCTCCCAAGTGCTGGGATTTAAAGCCGTGCGCCACCACCGCCCGGCTTAAGTTTCTTTCAATCTCTTCATCAGCCTTCAACTTTAAAACTGACCATGCTTCAAGCGCTGCTTAGACAAAACTTCCTTGATGCAGTGTGTTCATTTCTGGTTTTAATAGTCACAATATTTTTAGCCATAGAAAACATATCAAATCAAACGGGGTTCCAGAAGCCTGAGGGGGTAGAATCTATGCTACAATGAGAACTCACAGTAAAATAAAAGTGGAAACAACCAGTAGAGCATCCTCAGTGTCTTCACATGTAGAAAAATAAATTTTTACGCAGCCGTCTACTGGATTTTTCATCTTGAGGAAAGTTCATTGAGGCTAAACAGCAAAGTCTTGGACAGGAAGTCCCAGTCTTTGGCAGCAGTAAAGTGGAAGGACTCTGAGTTCTTCAGATGAACCTGGAGTCAATCATTTTGGAAAATAGCCTTATAGGGTGGCATACATCTAATTAAATAATTTTTCTCAATACAAAACTATAAAACTTTATGCCCAGTGTTATTAGTATATGAATTTAATGCTTTTGTTTACACAATAAACAAATGTTTATTAATTAGATCATACCTTTTATATGCAGTATTATCTTTCAGTTAAGTGCTCTTGCTGTCACAGAACCTTAGGAAAACTGTACACTTGGAAATGAAGTTCATTGTATTATTTTCCTATTAATGAGGCCATAATTGTGATTCATAATTTTATAGAGATGGCTTCTAAACACAAAAATTGACAGCTCAAAGTGAAAATATAGTAGTCATGTACTGCTGACTTTGGATATAATCCTTAATTCAGGCTGTAAGAATGTCCTTTGCAGAGGGGACTTTATTAATGAATAGGAAACATTTACCACGAAAGCTTATATAAGTTCCATTAAGAAAAATCTTTGCATTTTGAAAACAGATTAGGGTGATGGTTGGTAATTCCTTTCCTTGTACAAGGGTGGAATATTTCATTTAACAAAAACCTTAAGGAGAAACATTAGAAATGAGATTAAGTTGTTTTTTTGTTTGTTTGTTTGTTTTTTGTTTTTTAAAGATTGCTGTACCCTAAAAACCTCCTGGGCAAGTCTGCCAAAATTCCACACCCCTCAATAAGAGGAGGAGGTTGGCTTTTACCAAATACTCAGTCACTCCTTGCAGTGTAATTCTCTGGCAGTGTATGGACTATGGTCTAGTACATAGAGCAAGCATTTTGACTGTCTGCTGCTGCTGTGTGGGTGACTCTGCACATCCCTCCCTGTCACAGTCTGCAGTTAGCACCACTTGACCATGCAGTTTGGTTTTGGTTTTTCCGGCGTGGAACTGGTCTCTTGAGGTGAGATTTGTTTAGTCTTCTCAGCATCATACCTTTCAGTGAGGCGTGTGTACACATTTCCACACAAACAAACTGCAATCAGAAAAAAGTGACAAGGAGTTTCATCACATTGTACATTTTCAGAAGATTTTGCCAACCACATCTACAGTAACTCTGTTTGGTCTGTAAGAGGTGAATGGCTTTGAAGTTACTAGTTAACTTCTGATGAATGCTGGCTGTGTTCATCGCCATATCTATATAGGGTTACTATGAAGTCTTCACTAGCAACAGGTAATCATGTTCTTCCTGGGCTGACAAAGCACTGACCTGCAGTCATCGCCTCCAGCACTGACAACATGTCGGTCACCACTGGTAAATCGAATATTTGTCACATGAGGGGAATGACCCAAGAACCTCTTGTGCTTTGCCTAAAATGGAAACAGACAAAGCTCCCTCAGCAGTGATGTACACAGAGGTTCCAATAACAAATAATAATTCATCACCAGAGTAGAGATTACTGTAAAGTTTACAGGTCTGCATATAACAAACTAGGACGTTTGGGCAGTCATCTTTTTTCTCTGAAGAACAGGGCGGGGGGGGGGCTAGAATCTGTAATTGATTATAGATTTGATTCATAAACGTTCATCAGAACTTTCCTACAAATTTCAAAAGACAATGGGGCAGGTTTGGGGTTTTTTTGTTTGTTGTTGTTGTTTTGAGACAGTGTCTTAACTATGTAGGCTATCTATCCTTGAATTTAGAAATCTACCTGCCTCTCCCTCGATTCTGCTGTGCTGGGATCAAAGGTGGGTACCACCACACCTAGCCTGGAAGATCTGTTTCTAGTAGATTTTACTTTTGGTGTTGAGAAAGTTGAGGAAACCCTCAGAAATAAAAACTGCAGCATTTTCATGTTAGACCCGCAACATTTTAAATATGGGGTGGGGGGGTGACTCATCTAAGATTCAACTAAAGTAATACAAAATGCTAAACAGACTTACAAATTTTTCTGGGCATGGAAAGTCATATAATTTAACCATGCCGAAGTCATCTCCTGTCACAAGGCTGATTCCTGAGTGAGACACACAGGCACAGGTGAC